CCCCAAAACCCCAAAACCCCAAAACCCCAAAACCCCAAAACCCCTCAAAGCATTTATATTGAAAATTATGCATTTAAATGTGAGAATCCTTAATTAAGATCAGATAATATAGCTGTTATAAATTAAATTTACTTTTTATCAATGCAAAGATTTGAGGGACGTAGTCGTAGCAGGGAAAGAGGAACAGGCCGAGGAGATGAATTTGGTCGTAGGGGAAACCCGTCTAGAGGTAATGATGGGAGAGGAGGATTCAACAGAGGTCCTACTGTTTCATTAATCGCTTAAAAGGGTTCACTTTAGCTTTAATCTAACCATTTTAAGTTTGGACTTAGAGATGCTACTAAGACTGTTAACATGTATGACATTGACTTCGGATAAAACATTGGGACTTTTCAAGATAGAAGATCTGCAATAAGACAGCTTAGACCTGACTTCGAAAGAGTGTATGATTTGTTTGTTGGCTATGGTGACTAGATATTCTCTTAAACATTGATTCATGAGACAAGTTATTTTGACTTTGTTTACAAGGGCATTCCATCAATCGTCAGTGTGTCTTTTAATAAGTCATTTTCGCTTGAAGAGTAATTGCCGGAGGATAAGTTTAACAATGATAAGATACTGAACTACATCCTGTCATTATGCAAGAGAGCTCTGATTGAAGAAAAGTACAATCAGATTGGCAGATTTCCTAGATTTTTTAATGCTAGTGAAAGAGTAAAGATCAATGCACATAGGCTTGAGATGTGGCCAGGTTATTCTGTATCAGTGAGGAGCTTAGCTGATGGAATATTCTTAAACATAGATACTATGACAAAGTTTGTCAATCAAATGACAATCTACGATAGAATCAGACAGTATCAAAGGGAAAGATACACTAATCAACAGATAAAGGAGATGCTGTTTGAGGATGGCAGAATGATTGTAATAACGAAATACAATTCAAGACAGTACTTGGTAAACGACATATCCTTTGACATTACACCAGCCAAGCATAAATTTGACTGGATATATATCAATCCAGAGAATAAACTAAAAGAAACATTGCATACAGATATGGTAGAGTATTTCCAAATCAAATGGAATCAAGTTATCCAAAGAAATGAGCAAAACTAGCCTTGTCTGTTGGTTAATAGAGGAGCTACTTCAATCATATTACCCACATCATTGTGCCACGAAGCAAGCTTACCTAAGGATTTTACTAAGGATAGAGCGAAAATCAAAAGTCTCCAGCCATTTAAGATCAATAAACCTTAAGACAGATATGATAGAATTCACAGTGTGGTAGGTAAGATTAATTCTAACCCATTGCTTGCTTAATGGGACATACAACTTGCACCAAAGATGGCTTAAGTAAAAGCAAGGTAACTTAATCATGCTCAAGTCTACAATTAATACAACATGATATCTAGTTATGATGATTATGAAGCTAAGCTCTTTTATCATAGTTAGCCAGTTGAGCTCACCAACGAGAGATGGGCGTTTGTGTACTGTGGAGATGGAGAGGAATTTGAATATGCTACTAAACTAGTTTAACATATGTAGCATGCCACCAGATAATTAGGCATAAAATTGGAAGATCCTCAATGGATTGAGCTTCACGATATAAACTCACCAGAAACCTATATTGATGCAATGAAATCAGATATCGACCCAACTTATACTCAGTTCGTGCTAGTTCTTATCTCATCAAGAAATTTAAAGCAATCGATTAAAAAGTACCTTGATGAAGTTGGATTGCCTTCACAATTTGTGCTGACTACTACTGTTGCAAGATGTATTGATGGCTCAAGAATATCATACGGGCCTTTCAGCATGATCCTTAAATAGATAAATGCTAAAATGAAAAAAGATTTATACAGATTAGTTCTACCTAATTTGAAGAGAGCAATGGTTGTTGGAATTGATATGGTAAAACACGGTAATGAAACCATATTAGGATTTTCAGCATCATATAACTCCTTCTTAACTCAGTATTATTCAGATATAAGAGTCTAGTAACTCCCATAGAGTGGGTAATTTTTGACTAATGAGGAGAGGGAAAAGTATATTACTTAGGAAAGAACTATGCTAATTATGGAATTAATGAGTAAAGCTATGAAAATATTCCAAGAAAGCAACTTGGGTATGCTTCCTGAAAAAATTGTTATTTATAGAGACGGAATTGGAGGGCCAACTTTTATGGAGTAATCTCTAAAGCATGAAGTTGGCTAGGTAGTTTAACTTATAAAAGATATTAGTGTAGATTACAGGCCAACAATATTATACAGCTTTATAGATAAGATGACAGATAATAGACTTTTTATGAAGTCAAACGATGATGTTTGGAATCCAGGTCCAGGCACAGTCCTTGACACTGCTCTCGTTGAAAATTAAGGAGATTAGATATTTGATTTCTTCATGATTCCTCATAAAGCAACAGTTGCTACAGCCAAGCCAGTTTAGTTCAAGATTGTTCCAGATCTGAGAAAAAGGATATCGAAACTTTTACTTATCATTTATGCTATGGTTATTATAATTTCGTAGGACCAATTAAAGTTCCAGCCGCCGTAATGTATGCTAAAAAGATTGCTTATTATGCTTGCGACAATAAGATAATGAGACCAAATCCAAGTTTAAGTATGAACTTACATTTTTTGTGAATTAATCATAATGCTAACTGCTAATAATATATAAATTAAACTTACAAAAACCTTGCTAACTACTATTAAATCATTACTTCGGGGTTTTGGGGTTTTGGGGAGATCGGAAGAGCAC